CTCGAGAGGGAGCGCCGGCAGCAGGCCGTCTCCATGTGGACCAACCATTGGGCTGGCGCTATCCTCTCTGAAGCCGGGCCGGAACGGGGGTGAGCTGGGCGGACTGATGCTCATGAAACGTGTGGTGGCAGCTTGTTGACGGGCGGTCTCGACAGCCTTCTGACGCGGCAGAGGCGGCGAAGCTGAGACTTCAGGGGCGTCACTCGTGGCATCTGCCAGCAGACTGGTGTGACCATGAAGGACGGAGGATGATTGCGATGCGTTGCTGCCACGCCGACCGGGACGGATCAGTGGCGGCAGCTCCAGCTCATCTTCGCTCTCGGGTGTGTCCGACAGAATCTCGACGCCCTCGTCGTCGACCGAAGTCGAGGGCGCGCCAGTGTTGTCCTCATGGCTAGCTCTGATGATTGGCACGACTATTTCCTCCTTCGTCTTGCCTTCCCGAGAGCTGGATGCGTCAGTCTTCTTGGTGTGCTCTTCATTGCGCATCTCGGTCAGAGGCATTCGCTTGGCTTTGGAAGCCTCAGCGGAGCCATCAAGACCAATTGTCGTTGTCGTTGAGTGCGCCTTCTTGTGTGCTTGTAGCTGGGAAGGAGACACCTCGGGGATGTCTTCGTCGGAGCCCTCTGATTGTTCAGGGGTGGCGTCAGCGTGGAATATGATGGAATTGCTCTCGCTCTTGTCGGTGACTGGTTCCGTCTTTGAAGGTACATTCTGAATGGGGACAGGCAGAGTAACCGTTCTCGGATCGTCTGCAACAACTGGCAAAGAGCTAGCATTGACTTGGGGTTTGCTTGCGGTCTTCTCAACAGTGTCATCGGTGAATGTTTTCGGAGCTTGCTTTTCAGGCCCATTCGTAGATACCTCCGGCGGCTCTTTAATTGAGACGCTCGCCGGCTCAGTTGAGGTGGTTGAGATAGACTCCTTCTGGCGCATGAGCTTGGCCCATTCTCCTTCCCGAATCTTTTGTTCGCCGACGGCAACCCATTCCGCGTAGTTCCGCTCAATCTTCTCCATCCGATCAAGCCAGTCATCTGGCAGGGTATCTTGCAACCCTTCCAAGCTGTCGAGCATGTAATCAAGGCTGCGCCCTGACTTTGTGATTTGCTTCTCCAGCACTGCTTTCACAACGGTGTAAGCTTGCTTGAGCTGAGACAACTCGTCATTTTCAGCCGCGTCTTCCACCGGCGGCGTGTTTGCTGGCGATGATAGCACATCCCACGCGGATTCGAGGGCGAACTCTGCCTCTGCAATGCCAGCTAGCAAAGCAGGTATGCGACGAAGGACGGACAGTCTGATGTGCCAAACCTTCAGCAGGCGACAGAGTTTGGAAAGATTCGGCAGTGATTGAATGATTATTGCTGTGAGAAGAGCCGTCAAGTCATCCATGCGGTTGTACGCGAGCAGAGAAGAAACAGATCGGGAATCTGTTGAAACTGGCGTTCCGGGTCTCGATAAAGGAATGATGTGGCTGTGCATGACGTGACTTTTGATATCTTCGATACGCAACTCGTCCATGTCGTGAGAAATGCCATCCACCCTGTCCTCGTAGCGTAGGACGTCGTCGGCAGGTAAGCTCCCCATATATTCGGCATCATCTCGGGAGGTCGTGTCGTTTCCTTGGTCTGAAGATTGTCGCCTCTGAGGGTCTGGCATCTCGAAGCCTGCAGAGCCGGAGGCTTCGGGCCAGGGCCAGTCGGACAGCTCCTCGAGCCATTCGTATATCTTGCGGCTCGCAACAGCAGCGCGCATAGCGAATTCCTGCTCGCTAACGGTGCAGTTGTCAAGGCACTGTTTCAATTCGGTGCTTGGTGATTGAAGCATCTCGACGGCGGTCATGGGGGTTAGGCGGTTCAACAATTCGTCGTTGGGTCGGTTTCGTGTGGGCGATTGCTCGTCGGAGAGGCGGTACTGGCGCCTAGGGGGGCGCAGCTGGTGGCCATGGCTAGGCGTGACGGGCTGGGGATGGTCGGTCATTGTGTGTTTGTTAGTATGAATTTGTTGTCGAACGTGCGATTGCGAGGTCGAGGGGAGCGGGCATGGCTCGCTTCTATGAGCCTGGGACGAAGAGTGCGTCGGTGAATATGGCCATATCGCGGATCATGGGCGGTGTTTGTAGACGGTTCTCATAATCGAGGAAGCCGAAATGACCAGGCCTTTCTTTCCCTTGCTTTCGAGCTCTGTTGTCCGGCGCACTTGGTCTGAGACGATCCGCGGCTTCGTAGGAGGCAGGTTGTCGCGCACACACACACAAGGTGGGTTCTGGTTCCTTCGGGAGTAGCTGTCGTTCGTTCGGGTAGTCGCAGGGTGTTTCCGACTGGCAGCCGTGCTGCTGGTGTGGCTTCGATGGAAAAAGGAACGGGAGTCGCGGCGCGGTGTCCGGGGGATGCAAGGGCGCGCAAGGTTAAGTAGGGTTGGTTGTTGCTGCTGAAGAATAAGAAATGGTGGGATGGATAAGGGTATTGCAGTAGGGACGGACAAGAGAGGCAGGCAGCGTCGGATTGGTGAGGTAAAGAAAGAATGAGGGACTGGTGAGGTGAGATTCGTATGTAGATGGGATGGGTAGGTAGGATAGGGTAGGTAGGTTATGAAAGAAGGAGTGAATGAAGTCGGGCAAGACGGATGTTTCGCGCCTGGGCGGGTGAAGGAGAGCAAGCTAATGCACCCGCGACACGGCCTGGGATGGGGGGTTAAAGGGAAGAGGGAGATGTGAAGCAGGTGAAAGGGGACCAGAAAGAGGGTTTCGTGTTCCAGACAGAAAGAGGAGATTTATTAATTGGTATGGATTAATGGAAATGGAATATTGGGTGCTGGCGCATGTAAGGTGCGTTAGCTGGATGGGGACCAGGGACGTGGACGGACGCTGCATCCACGAAGATGGATGGGTGGGTGGATGGGTGGATGCCCGGTCCAAGAAGGAGGATGGATGGGGACGTGGACGGGGGTTGGAATGGGCTGCGAGAGTGCAAGTCAGGTACCCGAGGCAGGGAATGGCCTTACCTACACGGATACGCACCCAGCAAGTGCCCCAGATCAGTGTGTGATGTGGTGTGGGCGACGCCTGGATTTGATCGGTTCGTGTGGAGATGCCTTCTGAATTAACAGGCCTCCCAGCCCCCGTCATGCAAGCGCTTGCGCCAGTCCGTCCCCGTTTTGCAGGCGTGGAAGAAGACCACTGGCCGCAGCTGTTCTGCAGTGATCCTCACTTGCCAGCGAAACCAACAATGTAAGGCTAAGAATACCACCGCAACGGCGACTATCGAATCCGGGCCAAGGCAATTACGTGAGGCGAGAAAAGAGGCGAGGCGAGGCGAGGTGCAGCGCAAGGCAATTCTGCAGCAGCAAAAGAGTCGGTCTGCCCTCAGTGCCCTGATGCCCCGATGCCCTGATGCCGGCTGCAGCGCATTCTGCATTCTGCATTCTGCATTCTGCATGGCCACTTATTACTTGGCTAATGCAGACGGTGACCGCATTTCGACGTCCTTTCCGTCCTCATCGCCCGCCCGCCCGCTGGGAATGTGATTATGTGATGGATGTCCCTGTCTGAGCTTGATGCAGTCCGTCTGCCAGCCTCCTCCCACCATAGTACAGCCCAGACCAACAAGAGGCCAATGTCTGGGATCCCTAGACAGCTGTCTTGGGATTCCGGTCTTCTTAATTCAGTCAATGCCGCGCGCACATTGAGGTCGATGCATTGAGGTCGATGCTCATCCGCAGTCGCCCTTTTTCTTGACGCGCTTCCCCTGACCGCGTTGCCTCCACTGCACCAGGAAGAAGAGATGAGATGGCATGCACGACATTCGACGCTCGGATGTTGACACTGATCCTGTGGTCTTTTGACCTGCCAGACATGCGTGTTTGACACCGTGACATGGGCCAATGCTACCGGCGACCTTCACAGGCAAATAAGACGTCAAACCAAACATGGAGCTCTGATAGCTGTCAGGTAGCTTTGCAGCTAAGGCCGGTAGCTCAGCTCGTGGCTGCATGGGCTGGCGCAGAGAGACGACAACGCCAAAGGTCAGGGCAGTCACAGTCAGAGTCAGAGGGTGACGCCAACCAGAGACCAGACAGTAAAGAAAGAAAAAAAAAACGATCAGCCACTACGAACAAACCTAGCCCAACGCGCGCCAGCACCAGCCAATCCTCGCCCGCTTCCATCGCTTCCGGCGATCCTCATCCCCCCACTGCGGCGACCTTAGCTGCCCTGCTATTGCTCGCCCAGCAAAAGAGCTCAGAGCTCCCATGTCATTGGCCGTGCCGTGCAGCTCAACCCGGAAGCCCTTCAAAACATTTGCAGCCCATCCCAGCAGCCTTGGAGCTTGCCCTGCTCGTCCCGTCCTGTCTGAGCTCTGTGTGACGGACGACCGACGACGAACGCATCGCCGCGTGCTTGACCTGCTGCTGAGTCGGACAATCACACACCATCGGACAAAGAACGGCGTCCGCGTTTGACTCTCCATCTCGTTCGTCGGTTCTGCTCATTTCCCTATGAAATATGTCCCCCCGCTGTTATTAAACATTCCTCGTCGCCTGCCGTTGGCTGGCCCGGAAACGCGCTCGGGACCATCTCGCCTGAGAGCTCCCTTGTCCCACTACCACAGATTCGGTTACCTCAACCCTGCTGCTTTTTAGATTGGAACACGAGGGGCCGCCCAGGGCCCTCTCGGCAAGCTCCAGTCTCGGCTTCTAAAAACGACTGCTGTCTTGTCATGGGTTTGACACCCATCCCATCATCCATCGTGGGGACGAGAGCTTGTCTCTTCCTTTCATACTGCGTATCGTCACTACAGTTACAGGCCATGTCCCGGAGGTGCCACCGTCTCACCATCAAGATCCGAAAGCTCCTCTTGCGCCACTCGCCTCGTGGGGGGAATTTCAGAATATCTCATTTTTGTGAGAAAGAATCATGGAGTTGTTCAACTTATGCTGGATATCGCGTGCTGAATCTAGATCTATCCACGATGCTTATGCACGATGTGAAACCTACACAAACAGATCTACAGCTTAGACGGCAGGAACCTCCACTTTCCCTTGCCCGGGTACACGAACCCAAGCTCTCCCAGGGAGGTTGCTGTTCCTCCTCGCTTTTCAAACTCTTGCTTTGCATAGTAGTAGATGCTGCGCTCCCAGAATTGTTCGTCTTCCCAATGCGGCGGCTCTTTGCCCAGGTTTATCGACTCTATCGCCCAGTCATGCAGCGAATTCAGGAAACGACCGTCGTCTCCATCGTCAACGAGCACGTGGAGGTTCTTATCCCCGCGTTTCTCAAACAGCGCAAGTTCCCAGGCCACTTGATCTTCGACCGGCGGCATGCTCAGGTTATTTGACCAAACTGCCCCCAGCACAGCAGCTTGTGTTTCTGTCAGTGGCCATGGGACCGTCTTGACCAGCAGGCCGGCAAATGCCAGGGTTGGGTGGTCGATGAGGAAGAGGTGTTGGTAGAGACCTCTGACACCCTTGCCGGTTGACAAAAGATGCGGCTTCAGGATCTCAGGTAGGAACGGAAAGCTGAAGAAAAACCCAGTGCAGTAGATAACCGTGGAAATGTCTTCCTCTACGGTCCCGTCTTCGAAACGGACCGCCTTCTTCTCCGGTAAATATTCTGATATCGCGGGCACTTCGACCACCCCGATGTGGTCCACCTTGTCTGGTGGCGTCGGGTGGTGTACTGACAAAAAGACCTTGTCGGCGAGCGGGCTGATTTGGCGGGCGATATCGAGACCCGACGGTCCGTTGCCGACTACGATGACCCTCTGGCCCGCAAACTGCTCCGGCACACGGTAATTCTTGGAGTGCAGGATGGCTCGGGGATGAGCCTCGTGATAGGCCTTGATGCCCTTCACGTCCGGAATGTAGGGTACATCGTAGTGTCCGTTGGCTATGACCACGGCGTCGTACGTGTCGCTGAAAGTCCGGCCGGTGACGGTGCATGCTGCTTCCAGGTCCCACTTATCCCGGCCGTTCTCCTTCCGGAGGTCGAGTGCCTTGACCTGGTGAGAGAACCTGATGAGGTGGCGGACGTCCTCGGCGTACTTTACAAGGTACTGGTAGATGGCCTGCCGGGACGGGAAGATCCATGCATCGTCCGGGAACGGCGTGTCCTTGTACAGCATCGTCGTCTTGACGGTGTTGGCGTGGAGCGTCCCGTACATGGGCGTGGGGAACACGGGCGGCTCATCGGGATTGGGCCGGATCGGAGGGTCCTGGGGGCAAAACGGATCCGTCTGGGGGACGTGGAGAGACGTCGTCGGATGCTCGCTGTAGTTCCAGACGCCGCCAACCTCGGCCTGCTGCTCAAAGACGACAATAGACTCAAAGCTTCCTTGCGCCTCGAGGTACCGGGCGGCAGCCAGGCCGGTGGGCCCGGCGCCGATGATGGCGATTTTCTTGACGTCGAACGGAACGGCGCCCATGTTTGACGGGTTTGCAAGGGGGCACAGACCTTGCCTGTCTTACAATAAAGCGATGACAATGGTCAGCGGCGTGTTTAAAAGCAACGCGACAACATATCATGCCCCACGAGGTCGGAGTGCGTTATATCGGCGGAGAATCACACAATCGGCTGGAATCGGACAGAGTGGTGGACCCCGGCGGATACGGAGATGCCCCTCGCTTGGTATCGCATCCGGGTTTGCGAAATACGCCTCTGCTCGTTGCAATTGGATGCTTTGACGTGTAGACACATTGCATGTATTCTTTTTGCAAAACATGCCTATTCTGGCCCGGAAGAACGCTTCAGAAGTCGGATGTCAGCCATTGACAAGGTATATCCAAGAGAGTCACATGACTCGCAGGGGGCTCGGAAGCCAGCCCGGCGCCGCCGCTTGCGCTCCTATTATCGATAAGGAACTCCCTGTTCTGCCCGGCAAGTTCGCGACACCGCCTTCCCCTTCTGCCACGTGCCCCCTTGTGGATCCTGACGCAGCGTTGGTGCAGGTGCAGCTCCTCCAGCCGGGAGCTTCCCTTGTTGCTTTCTTCCACAGATACTCACGAAGCGATGCTGCACCACGAGGTCGACCTCAGTAACCAACTTCACCCACCTTCCTTCTGGCCTCGATAAATTACAGATTCTTTTCCAACCATTCTTGTTGATGAATTCGTCTTCATTACTTCTTGTCTTGTTTTGACCCGCGCGTCACCCCGCGTCGCATATCTCGGTTTGACGAGCCTCATGACGCGATGTCTGAGGATCAGCTACCCTCGCAGCTCCAAGCTGCCGAGGGCACTCCCATCGCGCAATTGAGCCCCGAAATTCAGGATACCAAATCGCGCGTCGTCCGTGGTGTTGTGACAATCACCTGGCCGTACAGCATTATCAACAAAACAGTCGCTTTCCTCCTCGCCGAACCCGACTTCCGATTGCGCCGCGCCAAGGGACAGGTGCGCGTCGAATTCAGTGGATCAAGCGCAAAGTCCGTACAGGATGCTGGATTGGGTAGCGGCGATGAGGTGACGCTCAGCTTGGATGGTGTTGAGTTGGTTGTGGATGATTCCAAAACGCGCGTACCCGGTACAAGCCTAGGATGGCAATTGAAGTTCAAAGAGCGGCTTCTGCTCCAGGTACACAGCGACGATATCGCACAGGTCTTCGCATTACTCTAACAATTACCAGGCGAAAATCAGCGACTCGGAAGAAGTCAAGCTCATCGACATCGATCATCCTGTCGCCCCCGAGCCAGCCGCCGAGCCCGAACCCGAACCCGATTCTGAACAGTTGCCCGCGTCGGTCCTCGATTCGTTCAAAGAGCCCGACAAGAGCCCAGAACCTCTTATTGCAACGCCCGTGCGGAGTGTTTCTGCGAAGCGATCGGCCGACCAGAGCCTAGGCTTGGACGAGTATGCTTCGCCCGCATTCCTGAAGCGCGCGAGGATGTCGTACGGATCCCTGTTTGCAGACAGCCAGGACATATTCGAAGAAGATATCTCAGCGAAGGCTCGGGCAAAGAAACGGACCAAGACGGGTAGGTACAGCGGGGTCTGGAGATATGCAAGTCAATCCCCCAGCCCTGAGCCGGAAGCCCGCGAAGACGACAAGGACGAAGAGGATGACACACCAATGGCGGACGAACAACCAGCAGCAGCCACGCCAACAGCCACGCCAACAGCCACGCCCTCCCGACCGAAGATGGTTGACGGAGCTTGTCAAACCATGGAGCTGGACGCGAGTCCTCCGAGAGACGTCCAAGTCGCCGCAGAGGCTCGGCACGACCCTTCACAGTTCTGGCAGACACCTTCAAAGTCAACCATGATTGACTCAGGCGTACAATCAGATCTGAATCTGGGTATGCCATCGGATCTGCATGACGGCTTTGTGCAGACTGCACCGATACCGATGTTTACTTCCGCGCACGAGCACTACCCGCAGGCTTTTGATCAGCCACCTCTCGGTCCAGTGTTTAGCCACGAGATCCATCCGTCAGGCATGGAGCCGCAGTACCATGCCGATGAACCATTTCATGATCACTCGGACTCCTATCCGGAAGCAGGACTTGAGCACGGCGTTGAATCTCATGGCCAATATCCCACGTCGTTCCTTGAGGCGCACCAGTTCGATCCACACCTCACTGCCACTACTCAGCCTGCTTCAGAGACGATGCCAGCTTATGAGGAGCATCATACGCCACAGGGACATCCGTCTGAGCCTGAGCATCACACCGAGTTTATCGATGGGATTACTGAACCGCAACAGGTGCCTTGGGGTATGACGTCGATGCAGCGCTCCAGATCGCCGACGAGGCCAGTAGACGGACCCACAGCAGGCTTCAGATCGGTCAATGCCGAGGCGAAGGCCGAAATTTCTACAGAAGACCAAGCTGGAACACAAGCCATCCCAAGCGATAGCTGGCGTGAGGATCATGAGCGCCAGACCGCAGAGCATCATGAAGATCCGGAAGGCAAGCAGGCCGCCCTTAGAGTTGAAGAAGATCAGGTGTCGGAGGACCACGACGGACCTGAGGAAGAGGTGGGCTCCAAGACGTATGCTGACAGGCACTGGGAGACGATTGAACAGAAGGCAGCGGAAAAAGCAGCCACTGCATTGGAGGACCCTCAAGAAAGCAGTGAGGGTAGCGACAGTGGCAGTGGTGACAGCGATGCCGAAGCTGAAAACGAAGAGGACGACGCCGGCGGGGACTACGACATTACCAACTACCGCAATCTCAGCAATAATCAAGATGATGACGATGGGTCAGACCTTGAGTCTGATTATGGCCGAGAAGACGAGGAAGAGATTTACGACAGCGATGTTCAGGCCAACGAAGACGATGAGGTGGATGAAGACGCTGAAGACGCTGAAAACCTCGGAGAGTACGACGAGTACGAAGAGGAGGAAGATTATGACGAAGAGGAGGATGAGGAGAATCAACCTCCTCCTGCCTCAACGGCCGCCCCCCAAGTGATCAGCTTGTTGTCAGACTCAGAAGATGATGACGATGAGCCTCCACCTGCGGCTCCAGCAGCACAACCACAACAAGTGCCACAATATGATGGATCATCCGACGAGGAGGACGCGCCGGAGGACGAAGAGGAGAGCGACAAGGAAAATCTTCGTCAGAATCACCAAATTTCATCACCCGTGATATCCGACGAAGAGAGTGAAGGGGAGGACGAATCAGACCAAGAGCCGAATGTCGGTACTCCAACACCCAGACCTCGCGAATCCAGAGGCGCACCTGAAATTTTGTCAGAAGTCAATACGTCTTCACCTCAAGCTGCCGTTAGCGACTCTGCAGACATGACGACGGCCACCGTCGGCGAGGACTTCGAGACAATGAGCCCTATTAAAATACCGCATATAGCAGAACATGCTAAGGATAGTAGCCCTCGACCGGTCTCCCGAGACGATTCCGAGATGCTGGAGGCGGAGCTCGAGCACGAGTTAGAGGATGAAATTGCGGCCGAAGAAGCGCGCCACGACCAAGAGACAACGGATGAGCCAGTGGTCAAGACAGATGCAGCCGGCGAGACCCGAAGCGAAGAAACATCGGATCCCGCAGCCGTGAGCGAAACTACGAACATCGATTTGACCAAAGTCCAGGTGGAAACCACTGTGCAGATGGAAGAGGTCAGAGATGCACCCGAAGAAACGGGTGCTGCTGAGGTAGATCTGGAACCTGCCGACAGGGGTGCTGCTGAAGCGATGGACATTAACATGGCGGACGCAGACGAAAAGCCTGTCGACGAGGTCGCTAGAGGAGGACCTGAAGAGTCCGAGATGGACGTCGCAGAGGCCGATGAGTCTCTGCTAGACGAGGAGATGGACCAAGAGCAGCTCATCCAAAGTCAGCTCGAGGACGAGACCATGGCAGAAATCCACTCGCAGACGATCATCACACTAGAAGCCGAAGCAACTGAGCTCGACGAGACCTCGCGTATTGACGATGAGATGGACGAAGACGCTTCACCCATGGGCTCGCCGGAGTTGCAGGTGAAGGAGAAACTGCAGGTCGAGGTCTCCACCGAGGTTCTTCTTGCTGCCTCGCCAAGAGATCAAGAATCGCGCCAGCATCAGTCCGAAGACGCAATGGACGTAGACGAGGCCCGAACTGGGCAAGCTGAGATGGCCTCCCCGCCTCCAACTCAGGCTCAATCGCAACCTGAGGAGGTTGTATCGGCCGAGACGCAAGATCCTCGAGCCAGTGAAGACCACGATGAGGATAATGATGTCTCGCTGGTTCAACTGCCAACACCCAGAGAAACGCAAGTGACGGAGTCATTTGTCTCCCAATCAGTGGTCGATACTCAGGACACGGAAGAAATTGTCGCCGACAGACCTTCCCCAGATTCCACCAGCAAGAGGCGGGTAGAAGAGGAGACTCTAACGGCGACTGTGGAAAATCCGGAGAACCCTGGCGACGCAGCTTCACCTATCAACGAAGACGCATCTCAAATCCGAGACTCCTCGGCGCAACCGTCGGAAGCGCATTCATCTCTTATCGCCGAGGATCTCGCGGAGGAGATCAACACCGCCCAGCCAAATCCGAGGCGAGGGCGCGGACACCGAAGAAACAAGTCAGATAACAAGGATCTTGATCCTAGCGTCAAGCTGGCCCGTGCATCAATCGCATCCCGACGTTCGACGCGCCTATCAGATCGCACGACCCCTGACAGCACTCGTGTTACCTCCCGAGCCAGGTCGCATAGCCTCGCACTCAGAAGTGACTCGCCAGAAGATGAAGACGACGAAGGCGTGCAGCTCGCCAGGGCCGCGATCAAGTCACCGTCGCGAGCAGCAGCGAGAGAGAAAGAGGCACCCGCAACCCCGGCAGGTGACGCCACCACCACCACCACCACCGCCTCGTTGAAGTCGCAACTTACAAAGTCGCTACAAGACGTGCCCGACTGCATATCACTAAAGGTGCTCCGCAACCACCCGGGTAGGGCGGTGGACGTGCTGGCGATTGCGACGACAGAG